ATGCATTTTTCACTGAGAAAATATTACTTGATCCGCCTCTCACTGCACATAAAATGTGTCAAATTTTACCGTGATGACGTCATGTCGACAAGTGCATTGCGATCACTGACTTGTTTATATCTTACTGTTTGGGATTTAGCTAGAGAAAAAAATGAATAAGAGTGTTAAGTTTTGATGTAGTTCATTACTCATAAGCAGTTTAAAATCGCAAATTATTTCATTTTCTTATATTGTGAGGAATTGCTATTTTTGTGTGATGTCACAGTAAGCATTTCCCGTGTAATTAGGCCCCGCCCCCTTTATGCAGCCTTAACAGAGCTGCGCTGTTTATCTTGCATGTAGCCAAATACTTATAATTCATGCATCAGAATAGCATCATAACAGTAGATAACTTGTAGGGGTAAGACATCGGGTAGTTCAGCTTCACTTGAAAGTCAGAGATCCATAAATTATTACTTGAAGTGAATTGTTGTTGTACAGCGGCTACAACATCAGTTTCCGTAGAGACTGTACCAAAGACAACCATATTGGGCAGTTATTGCAGGTAATTATTCAATCTCGAGATATGAAATTTATATCCAAATATCAACAGTTTAATTACTGCAGCTAGTATCTAGTGCTTAAGAAAGCATAACTTAATCATAAGCACAATGTACAGATCCCCGCGGCAAGAGGTAAATGTATGTTCAAGCTTATTTTGAGTGTAACGTATATAACTTTTAAATCAAAGCAGGCTAAAGACAAATTTGCATTACAAAGATTTCAGAAACTTCGTTTAATGTAATCATTTTGCAATTTCTATGGTCGTTATAACGGTCCTGTTTGCAAAGACATCCTATCGTTGGGTTGCGTTTTGTCTAACATTTTATATTGAATTTGACAACGGGCTAGGATCTTCACCTGATAAATAAATAGTTTTTAAGGATGGTCGTGACTGCTTGGTAGGGGATGTTTTCTACTCCTTAGCACGTAATTCTACCCTAAGGTCCGTGTTTTTACCTTGTTAATTACTCGTATTCTTTACTAGATTTATGAGATAAATCGCTGTTCGCCACTTTTTAACTTTATTTTCTTTTTCTATACTTATATATTTCATTAAATTCATTACATAGAAGGCATTGATACTAGTATGAACAACTTTGGAAACTAAAGTCCCAAATTTTAATAAACCAAAAAATTAATATCTGTTAGGGAATGAAACTAAAGCTGTCAAATCCCTATACCTGGATCATTGTTAATAAAGTATACCTATGCTTTCATGCATTTATTTCATATTGGAAGATCTATGAGATATTTATTGCACCCTGAGTATGTAAGTTGATAAATCAACATTTGCAAGTTATGCTCGCAACTCATTGAGATAACCTGCATATTTCCCCTTCTAATTAACGATTTTGTGTCAGAGAATTAATATACTTATTGCTTAATACCAACTAACTATGAATAAAAACAGAATAATTCCAAATTTATATACATTTTTTTTTAAATCCGCACATCACTTTACTGATGGTAGAGGTACCCCTGCAGTCAGTTATCAAAGAATTGTTAACTATCACCTACGTAATTCCAATAGACCGAATGAAAGTTGGAAAACTAGTAAAATTATATACAAAACTTTTCATTACTAATGGGAATAATATTGCGCATCATTATCTTCACGTTGGGTGCAAGTTCAACATATGTCACAGACAACTGTTTTAGGTTAAAGGAGGTAGTGTTTGTGAATCTTTGTACTAATAGAATACAGCATAACGCATATTTATATGTAAGAAACAATCCATGGCAATTTAACATTGGCTTATCAAAAACAAAGACATCTCATTTACTGAGCAGTAACCATTGAGGGGAAATTTGACTGATTTGTTTCTATAATTTTCTAAGTCGCAACAAAAAAAAAAAAGAAAAACAAACAAAAAGAAACAAAACAAAAAAAAAACTAATAAACACAAAAGCAGAAACAAAAAAACCCTTCTAAAAATGTGTGCAGTTCGGATTGTGCCCTCTTACAAAAACATTAAGGATATTTCTTTCTTTAGTTAGTTTTTATTTTATTTTTTATCTTTTTTGAATGCATGCAAGATATTGAAGATTCTGTGTTTTTTAAACAATTAATTATTATCGTATCTGTTTGTCTTAGGTATTATTTTATTTTAAAATTGTACGAAATTATACAAAATTCTGATTGATCTTATACCGCTAATAAAACCAGTGATCATATTCTCCGCTACTATATTTACTGCATTACGCAGGTAGGTTGTCTTCCCATCGAATGTCACAGTGCACTCTGTGTCTTCAGCTCTCTGAACTACCTACATGTATATATGACTTTATGACGTCATAATAGAAAATGACGTCAAGACACTGCTAACTGGAGCTGTTGTGACGTGAAAGATGTCATAAATTTTACATCTTCTTTAGAAAAAAAGGGTTGCGTAATTATTCTTGATTGAAATTGAGCGTGTTTAAAATGCTAACAAAAAATACACTTTTGAAATGTACCTGTGGTTTGAGGTAGAATTTATTGTGTGTGTATGTATTAAAGAGTTTGGCGCAGGAGATTTATGAGGATTAATCTATCTTTTGTGAAAATCTTAATGATAAGTTTGTTCTCTGACTGAATCTTGCTTGGGAAAAATGAATACATATTACTGTATTGTGTTGATAATCTCCCAAATGTGATGGTAGGTTAAACTTCTCCTTATATATTTTGTAACCAAGTAACACCATGTCTTTTCCCAAGCACATCTCGGGTACATAAGAATACGACAAGTTTATTTTATATAACAGAAAGTTAAAACTAATTGTGGTGGTCTGTTGCACCGAAGCGATTTACATGACACACGTCAAAAAAATTATATATGACCGTCACTTGTTCAACAATCTTTTGATACCATAACAAATATGTTAATATATAGCCGAGAAAACCCTCTCTATAATTTGGTTGTACCTGAGTACATAGCTTACAAATTAAAACCAAAACCCATCTAGTCATGCAATATTATATTTTGAACACATTTTAAAGTTTCGAGAAGCCTTAACATAGTTTTTTGATCGGGGAAGAGGGGTATTAGAAATATGATTTATTTTTATAACTCTCGAGAAGATTTTATGAAAACATGTATGTGTTCCTTACGGGGAATGTAGTCTAAAATACATATGCGTGCAAATAAACAATCGTTCTACAGAGGATGCTTGCTCCTCCTAGGCACCTGATCCCACCTCTGGAATTTTCAGGGGATTGTGTTTTGTGCCCTCCTCACAATTGTGTATTGTTTATGGATTTCTTTTTTTTTTTTTTAGATCGGTCAATGTTTGCTATCTTCACATATTTTTTTTTATCTGTAGAACGTCTGCTTTAAGAAAAAATACTATAAATTACATGTTATAGGGGGTAGGGATAGGGGACTTGTTTCATTTTAAAATCATTTTGGGCTCAGTCTGTTTGATTTTCAGACCTCAAAATTAGAATGATTAAATATTGATAATCAGCCGGACGTCGGTCAAGATCAAGAAATTTCCAGTATGGGAAATGACGAGATAGAAAACATGACTTGCACAAATTCAATGCTAAAGTATTGAAACCGAATACATAAACATGCATTTCCTTTTTGGAAAAAAGTTTATCGAACCTAACCAGAATGGAACAGAATCATATCTGTATTTCTTTCAACAATCAGTCCTCTGCTCAATTTTTAAATAGGATTTATTAATGAATTGAAAAAAGGAAAGAAAATTGTATATTTCTTTTTTAATTAATTAAACGTATTTTTTTTATTTTGTATATTTATCCTCTCTGTCACTTAATAAAACACATGCACCCCATTGCTCAATGTATATAACTATTTCCCTCGCAGCTAGGTTAAGGACGTCCATGAAATATACACCTTATTATATTCAGGGAAAATGAATACAATTTTAATATTATTTTAACAGCATTAGTTTTCATAAATGCGAATTGTGGTGCTTGCACTTGTATATATCGGGTCTCTGCTGAGTTCGGCCAAAGCGACATCGCTTACATCAGCTGTTTATATCCTGACAGGATTAAAATTAGAACATTCATGTACTGTTACAAAGATCGTAAAAGTTCTACGATATACGGGCATATTTTTGCTATAAAATTTATTCTGTTTTCTTTGAAACAAATTCCTTCAACGAAAAGTGCTGGGATCAACTTCCTCATGCTCGGGAATTGTTTAAAATTAAGCCGTCTTTCCATAAACTCTAGACAAAAATGTAATACGCATTGAAATAATGTTACATTACGGAATAAATAAACAATGCACAACCAGCTCCCAGCATTTTTAAGAATAGTAGGAATAATACCTACACGTGTTTAAAAATCAGTATTCATAGTGAAGCGGATATCGTTGAACTTTTGATATTTTCGAGGGACTGAACCTGTTATTCTAGCACGTTACTGTACAAATGTGCGCCCTACGAATTTATATAAAGTCTACACATTATCAATTTAGTTTGACAATTAAATGTGGATTAATATATTTCAGAATATGTCTCTCTTTTGGTCTTTATAATATTTATTAGAAACGAACGTATTTAGTGTGTTTTAAAAAGAACATATAGTATTTATTCATTGAGATTCAGTTGTATTGTTTTAATGTGACGTCATAATAGCTTTCCCGAACCTCTGCATAGGCTGACGTATATATGGGAGTCCTAGCTGCGCTGTAATCAATGTCTGTGATTTTTTAAAACAAACCATAATTCCACCGTTATAAAAAAAATCATTTATTTATATGAAAATCAAAACACAAAAAAATGTCCTCTTGCCAAAACTATTCTTCCTCATTTATAATAATGTGTGGAGTATAATACGTGTATATTTCATGCGATTCAATTTATTTCAATCCAGAGTTTATTTGGAGTAAACAGAAGAAATTAAAAAGAAAAAGGTTTCAGTGAATACTAAAAGAATAAAGATAAAGTTCATCTTACATCATTATTTGAGGAATACATTTCATTTTCATTATCAATCAGGATATAGATACAGTTATTAACATTTATCAGAACTCCAACGGGTTTGGCCAGTGTGTAAAATTGTCTAATTAATATCAGATAAGGAAAAGTGTTTTTATATGACCTCATTAAATTCAGAATTTCCATAAGTATGTATTTCTTGGTAGACTGATTCTCTGTTAGTGGAATTAATGGATGTGTAATGGTGATCTTCTTTTCCGCCTGTTAACTCGTCATACTTCTCCTCTGTATCCTTGCTAGACAGATGGTCAGTATTGCTGTGTTCTCTTGCGTTCTGTTGCAGACATCTTGTTCTTTTGAGATATATAACTATAGTCAGTGCACTGAGAAGTATTACTCCAAGAAGCGTTGAAATGACGGAGATGACGACCAAGGACGTTTTAGAAAACTCTTCTGAAAAAACAATGGTTTGTACCAAAAATGTAGATTACATTCCTCATTCATTTTCTTCAATGTTGTCATTTCGAAGAAACATTTCTTTTTTATATATTTTATATGCAATTCAAGAGAAACGTTGGTTGTACAGTGTTAGTGAGTTTTTTTTGAACAAAATAAAATCCGATACCAATATGTCTCCTTTGGACATTAAGACAAATATATTCACTTACTATCTCCTTAATGTTGGGTGTTAAAAAGTATTTTAAAAACGATTAATTAAATTATAGAAGTACTTACCACCTGTTCTTGATTCCCTTGTAGTATAAACTAAAAAGCAAGTGATAATCACTTCTTATTTAACAAGATATAATTTTATTTAATATTCTCGACTATTAAAGTTTTCAGATACCATTCTTTTCATTTTAAGCAAGTTTCAGTCAATACTCAGTTCGATGAAACACGTTTTGATTTTTTAAAGCATTGTTTTTCGACATTCTCTTTCGTGAAGCCTTATTCTCTTCCCCCTTTTTTTCTTTTTATTTCTGTTGTCTAAACAGACACTTTTGATTTGAGTAATTATATATTCTAATTATAAGACAATTATAAAATCATTTCATATGCAAGACAGCATAAAAATTAACAAACACTTATGTTCTCATGATAATGTATATATTTCAATATCTTTACCAAATAAAAAAAAAACAATTTTTTCTCTCGTCATTTAATATCACTCAAGAATTCTGATAAATAAAAAAAAATTAATCTTGCCATTGCACATAGGCCCCTGCCAGTCCTGTAAGCAGCCTTTAGTGCAGGTTCCTTTCTTCTTATCACAAATTCCTTGGATGCAATTTCCACATTGCAAATTGCAGCTTTCGTCATATAATCCATTAGCACATTCTAAGTTGGAATTTTAGGATAAAGGCCAAAAAAATGAAAACATTAAAAAAAAAAAAATAAATGAAGACTTGTCTAATATGATCCAGAAGATCGTAGGACGATTCAGAGCTTAAATTGTCAAAAATAGGTCGTCCTAGATTGTGACGTAAGAAACGATGAGCAGTCTTTAACTAGATATCATAAAAAGACAAAGACCTGTCTGATGTTCAAATGAACATAATATTGAAAATTATGAATTTGTAGGGAAACCTGTATCTGCTTTACAAATTGCATGCTACTTGTCGTAATTTTTACGTCTTCATGTAAACAATTGTCTGTCAGATCGATAAGGTCGTAACATAATCATAAATATAGAGTACAAAACAAATGTTCCCATCTTAAAGAATCCTACGAAATATTTCAAAAAAGAACACAACTATCCACAAACTTCCGGAAAAATATATGCTAAGAGAGAAACTGGAGTGTCTAAATCAGCTTAGATCTATGTTTATTCAAATGCTAAGAGTGTACGGAATACTTAGGTATTGGAAAGATGGAGAAAATGTGGGAGTATGAAATAAATTGTGCAATTCTATTTCTTATGTTACAATTTTACTGAATTTGTTTAAGTTACGCCACCACCTTTCCTCTTTTCTCGATTTGCTTCGTTTAACCTCTGGTCTCTTCTTTTAATATGCTTCTGACGCCTATAGTTTTAGTCTACATGTATACCTGAGGTGTTTATAATTTTTTGTCTAAATTTCTAAATTAATGAGTATTCCTTTTATATTAGGTTAAAACATTTCAGACGTATTTACCTTGGCATAGTACCCGTCAATACATGGAGTTTCGCGCCATTTTGGCCTCTATCTATTATTTTACCAGTTTATTACCGAAAATTATAAGAAAAAAATTTAAACAGATTTTTCATTCGTCTTGATCTCCAGAAAATGTAAACAATGCATTCTGATTTTAAACTATGCAATTTCATCAATATTTTCAATCCTTGTCTGAACGATAAAAGCAATCCGTAAGAGTTCTAGTGGGATTATTTCCAGTGATATTTTCCCTAAAACACGGGAAAAACTTTAATTTCTGTAGGTACTGATGTTTTAAAATTTAACGGTTGTCCGGCATGGTTTCAACTTTCGCTGGAAGGAAAGCCAAAAAATCGTATGGTATTCATGATATAATAGTCTAAGAAATATAATTTGTGTGGAGGGAGGGAGGGGGGTGGGGGACTCCTAACAAGTCCGGGGGTGTATATCGGCGAAAGGCTGGGGTTGCAGAATTGTTTGAATGTTGAAAACAAAGAAATAATCAAGGAAAAGAAACATGGAATTTAATTTTTTTTTAATCAAATTTCAATTTTTTTAGCCTTTTTTTTTTGTCCCTTCGAAAATGTTTCACTCGAATTAGAACATCGCCAATTGCCGGAAAAGACTGCTCACGTTCTTTGAGCAATTATGGCTCTTATTTCTGCAGGAAACGACTGTGACATGTAACCTCTGCATATTTATATAGACCCTGAAACATGCAACTACCCCAAAAAAACGTGTGCTTTTCGTTTCGTGCAAACCGTGTGGCGTTTCGTGAAAACCGTGCAGCGATTCGTGCAAACCGTGTCGCGTTTCGTGTAAACCGTGCAGCGTTTCGTGTAAGCTCCAAAGCGTTTCGTGCAAACCGTGTAGCGAGCGTGCGAGAAGCGTGTGAGAAACGTGCGACTTTCGTGTAAGAGCCGTGTGAGAAACGTGCGACTTTCGTGTAAGAGCCGTGTGAGAAACGTGTAGGATTCATTCGGAACTCCTCTTATTTTAAATATGGCTATTGATGGATCAACATGTCATTCTGTGTTGTTTGTAACTAATATTATTTGAATATATTATACCGGTGGTATTTTAAGAGAGAAAGAACTACGGAAACAAAATGAAATTACTCGGTAATGTATTACATATTTGTTTGATTTCCTTTCTTTTTTTATTTAAATAAAGAAGGAAAGAAAATATGTTCAAAGTAATTAATTATATGCACATCAAGTTTAAGGTATTTGATTCAGTACATTTTTTAAAGGGAGCAATACTGAACATTGTCTTTAAAAAATCATCAATAATCCTGTCTTGTCCTTTTCATTCATTTATTTGAATCTCTTCACCATTTTACAGTTGTGGTATATAGATATTACAAAAACATATGGGTGATTAATGCAAAATAATAAAGAGATAAAGCAGGCGTGAAATATAAAATACACATGTACTAAGTTTAGTGCGTTGCTATAAATGTGAAGTATGGGAATTCTAAGCCGGGGAGCACAATTAATTCTCTTTTTTTTTCTTTATAAACGAACATAATTTTCTTATATTACAAGATTGTGATACAAATATTTTTTAAACGATGAGTCATTTATAGTCTTTATATGCACAAAATTGGTTGAATGATAATTGTCTTATAATTGTTTCATTAAATATATATATATATATATATATATATATATATATATATATATATATATATATATATATATATATATATATATATATATATATATATATATAGATAGATAGATAGATAGATAGATAGATAGATAGATAGATAGATAGATAGATATATTGTTGTGATTCTGTTTATTTTGGATATTGTTTTTGGGTCTTAGAATCTCTCTGGTCACTGGATAAAATGATTGTCAGCTCCGGGATCGTTGTGCGCTTTTTGCCTGTGAGAGATTTTTAGACACAGGGGAACAATTCTTACAATACCCTGGTCTTGACCAGATTGACCCAAGTTAGTTGGGTTATTAATGGTCCTTTATTTCTCAAAATGACGCTCCAGTTTAAATCTACTCTTCCTAGGATATGTTCCCTTCCTGTCCATAGCGCATCACAGGTTATGGGGAGTGGCCCTAGCTATTACCCAACCTGTATAAATGCAACCAGAAAGAGACAAAATCCACCAGACCACCGTTTATTAAATTAATACATACATTCTAATTATTTACAATTACTAAAGATACACAATACACAATATAACAAACATTATAATAAATACGAAACATTACTATCAGATTATAAAATATATTAACCTGTAAATACATTAAGCCATCTGAAAATTTTACCCATTTTTACAAAAATCTCGCAAGTCTACAAAATATCTTACCTGTATAAATGCAACCAGAGAGAGACAAAATCCAGCAGACCACCGACTGGCTATGTCTCACTGCGCTACATGTATACCCCCGTACATGCCTTGCATATTTGCGTATTTCTTCAAAATTTGCACTAATGACTTTTAATTTTGCTCTGAATTTAAATTAATATTATCCGTCCTTAAATCCTCTTTTTATCTTTGATTGCCCTTCAAAATTCTTGTTGAACTTTTTGCATAATCTTGACTTTTTATTTACCGTAGATAATTTATTCAGATGCATGACCTCTGCTCCCTTGCATCAACCTCTTTGATTGGTTAGACCTTTATTCTTGACCAAACCAGCATCTTATAAACAAGTTCTTAATCTACAAACAAATAGCAACCTTCATGGAACTAATTATCAGCGGTGAAAAGTTCATCCTGCATTCATGCCGAGCATCTGTTTTCTTCTATTTTTATCCTGCGTGATCGTCTAAACATTACTACATTTCCTACTTTACCCTCGAGATTCATAAATTCCACAATTTTCTATTTTTATGCAATTTTTGTTAAGATAATGGAATCATAATTCACATGAATCGGCAAATACAAGGTTAAATATTTCCTGGGGGGGGGGGGGGTGTTCAAATGTAAACACAAGCTTTGAGTTTTTGTTATTAACATGTTTTGTTTTTTTATATATAATTTTCATTTTAAAAAAAATATTTATTTTTTCGGGGTGCGCCTGACGCACCCCTTAAAAATGTATTGGAATCTTCTTTACACTTTCAACACTCTTCTCACGACTGTGATCAAGGTCATTTAGATGGTACAATGTACAGGTAGGCGAACACGAGTTATCGTTCATAGTACGAGTTATCGTTCATTATGTAGTAGATCTATTCACTCGTACGTGGAATATTCGACATGTGTTAAAATACATATACGGAAATAAATGAAATATTCTTAATTATGTTCCCCAAACGAAGTTTGGGAACATATTGTTTTTACTCTCTTTCTTCTTCTTATTATTATTATTCTTTTTTTTCTTATTTCTTCTCCGGTACTTTTTTGTCCGCGAGTGTTCTCGGAAACGGCTCAACCAATTGAGCTCTTTAGGGTTAATAGGCATGTTGTGTAGATGTGTTCGTCGAAGGTCATTTTGCGCGCACATGCATACACGTGCGGGCGCGTGCAATGAGTGAAATGACTGATATACTTAATATAGCTGTAACTTTTATACTTTTTTAGGAAATACTTTGAAACTCATAATATAAAGACATATTAGTAGTGTTAACAAAACGACATGGTCAAAGTAGCATGAACTCACGCGCATGCACATGCGTTTTGCTCTGACTGGCTGAAACAAACATCTCAATATCTTCTTTGCTTTTGACCAAATTCTTTGAAATTTAAGATATAGGTATATATTATAAGGTTCTACAATATGATTTATATAGAAATTCTTGAAAACACGAGCAAGCACGTGTGCTGCAATTTGATTGGCTGAAACTTTAAATGGTTATATCTTCCTTAGTTTTCAACAAAATAGGATGAAATTTAGAATATAAATAGGTATAATGAGTTCGTACATAATGGCACGATCAAAACTGAATGTAAGAACATACATGCACGTGTGCTGAAATCTGATCTGCTAATATTTTATAGGCTGTATCTCTCTTACTTTTCAATATAATGATTTGAAATTTTAAACATAGTCATACATTAGGAGGTTCTATAATATGATATATATAAAATTTCGTGAAAACACGCGCATGCAGGTGTGCTGCAATCTGATTGGCTGAAACTTTAAATGACCGTAACTTCCTTAGTTATCAACAATACAGGATGAAATTTAGAATATTGATAGGTAATATGAGCTCCAACGTTATGCTACGATC